CTATGTTATAAAAGGCCCGTGGCCGTAACGCCATAACAACCACCAGGAGGTGCACTGAGCACCTCTCAGTCCCTCCCCCCTGCCCGGGAGCAGCAGCTCTTGCAGCGGAGAGCTACCAGCAGCAGAGGGCGGGGCAGTGAGCTAAGAGCAGCGATGGGCGGGGCGGCCAGCTAAGGCAAGCAGAAGTGAGCTACTCGCGCACTATTTTGTGTGTGCTGAGCTTCTAGTCTTAAAAAAAAGTTAAAGAAAAAAACAAAAAGATATAAGGAAATAAAAAATATATATTGTATAAAATGAAAGATTAACTTAAGACTCTATAATCCAGCTTCTAACAATTTCCACTCTATTGCTTAGAAGCCCTATATATCATTAAAAACCTCTAATACCTTCAGTCACTTTACAAAATGACTCTTCCACTTTTAATCTAAATCTAGTTTTCTATGATGGCACTACATTCCTCAAAGGCCTCTCAATGAAGAATGTAAATCCTTGATGAAAATCCCCCTTATCTGGGAACAAGAAGGAAAATTTTCTTGAATATTGCCAGTTCTAGATCAAGAACCTCTCAAGTTCACACATCTGTACAACCTGCCAGATGCTTTCCCATCCTGATTGTATTTACAAGGTTCCAAACATTCCCCAAGGAGTAAGACAAGCCAGCTCTATACCCCCAATATTGTCTCCTCTACCTTAAATCCTACTATAATACAAGATAAACCAACTTAACACTTCAACTACAAAACAGGAAGAGTAATAATACCCAGAGTTGAGTGGTCCAGTAACTACATCAGTTCTTCCACGACCTCATCTAGAACTGCTTCTACTAGAAAATAACTGATTTATACATTTTACTTCCTGGTCACAACTTCCTCCTGGCTTTTACCTCACTCCCTTGCTTCCACTTATGTCTATTCTTTGGGCCTTCCATTTGCTGCCACCTGGTTACTTTCTAGGTTATCTTATATAATCTAGACCAGCGGTCGCCAACCTTTCGGACCTCATGGACCACCAGTGGTCCACGGACCACCAGTTGGCGACCACTGGCCTAGACTATAAAGTGAAAAACTTGCATGATACTCACCCTCAATTTCCTAGTTCCCATATCTTCTGCCACATCTACCCCACTGAAACCCAATCTGGGACATTCTGTCTACTCTTTCCTGGTCAAAGATAAAAACACATCACATAACTGTGTAGAAAGGTACCAGTACATTTAGTTTCTGATCCCAGCAGGGCTGTCAAAACCAGTCATCACTATGGCAGGTGTTTCAGCTACACCACTCTCCTATTCCCCACTTCCAACCATGGAACTCTCAGTCAAAATCTTTGCTTCCTTACTTCACAGAGGAAAACAGGTTTTCAAGCAAAAATTCCTCCAACTTATCTCCCTCTGCATCTCTAAATTTGTCATTATGGCATCCATCCTAACTTATATTCTTTGTTCTGAAATGCCAGACAACTGTATAGAGAAGATCCTGCCTCCCCAAAGATTGTTTTTCCTTTAAATAACATCTTTCCTTTTCTCCACTAACTTCTTTCTACCCACACATACATTCTATTCATGTCTTACTTAAAAAAGAAAAAAACCTACCCCCAGCTAAAATGATAAACTTTCTCTAGTGTTTTCCAAACTATTTCCATATCTCCCACTTTCTTTCAGTGACAAATACCCTAAGAGGGGGAAAAAAAGATATTTATCGTCATTCTGTGCACTTTCAATGCTCATTTCCTCTCTAATCCATTACCATCTAGCTTTCACTCAAACAGGTCTTGCTAAGAATATTGATCCTCTACTTGTTAAATCCAAAAACCTTTTTTTTTTTCAGTCCTTACTCCAAAAATCTTTAATACATTCAACACAGTTGAGTGTTTATAACTGGTTTTTCTTTAGCTTCCAGAGAACTATTCCTTTCTGCTTCTCCTCTTTCCTTTCACTATTCATTCTGCTTCTTTTTATAGGGACCCTAATTTTCCTCTGCCATCTTGTCTTAGCTAAAACTGAATCCAAAACTGTGGAGACTACCTCTAATACATAGACTGAATAGAAGGTGAATGCTGTGTGATCGGTTTCATTTGCAAGGGCATAAGACAACTAACTCCATGTAATATTGTTAAAGTTACTATTACAAGCATTCATTTGTCATTTAAAAAATTAGTATGGTATAATGTCTTATTTGATTTCATTCTTTAGATGATTAGGTAGATGATACATGAATAACTAGAAAAGAAGATATTTGATGCCAGAAGATCAAATTTTAAGGTACAGATCTACCACTTCCTAGCTACATAAAATTGATTGGGTCTTCCAGCTTCACCTTCTTCCTGTGATTCATTCATTCAGTCAGTTATCAATCAGTCACTCAACAAACTTTACAAAATGACTATTATGTTCTAGGTACTATATTGGGTGCAGGAAATAAGTACAAATCTAAGCCCATCAATCTCTAGAACTTCCAGCTTCTAGCAACGAGGACCTCTGAGGCAAGGGCTGCAACGTGGGGAATAAAGGAAAATAGAAGTTTACATATTCTATCATAGGTAAACCAGGGGACCAAGACCAGCAAGACCCAGGCCTGAAACACCAACATTCTTCAGAGAAAGTTTCATTCTTCCCCAGCAAACAGAGAGAAGCTAAGAACAGAATCCTCAAGCAAAACTAAATACTGAGTAATATCAATTACTAAGACATGTTGTTGTTGATGACTCATCCAGGAAGCATAGCAAATGCCAAGAGGCCATTGCAGGCAACAGTTAAAGGGCTCATCCACCAAAGTATTATATGCCAAAACAAACCCTCAAAAGTTGGCTGATAAAAATATACACATAATCTGAATAATTTCATAATAGCAGAAGCCAAATACACACACACACACACACACACATATTCTCTCTCAAAAAGTTAGCAAACATGTGCTAACTTTAAATAAACATATTTATTCTTATATAAATATTTATATATTTCTTTATTCCTGTATAAATAATACTTATTCTCATATTACAATGATCACTATAATGCCACATTTCTAAAAGTACTAGTCAATACAAAAAACACTGTTACACCAAGGTTTTCCACAAAACTTAACATGACTGTCATTTTCCAGTAAAAATTAACACGTGAACTCCATTACTGCATTGATTTGCACTAGAAGTACAGACGCACAAGACAAAAAATATAACTTGTGCCTTTAAAGGAATCAGAGAGAAGATGAGTAGTTTTCTTTAGTACTCAAATTCCAATTGTTAGCACACATAATAAAACAAATTTACCAAGTAGTTTTGGAGGAGAAAAAACCCTGGTAATCTAAATTTTAACTTTACATTTTGAAAGACAATTCTGCTTTAAAGAGAATCCTTTAGTTAGCATAATTAAAACACTGATAAAGACTTGAAAGTATTGTGTTATACATTAATTTGCTTTTAACAAGGTCAATGAAAAAAGCACCGTGCATTAAAAAAAAAGGCACTGTGTAGGAAAATGTTGTGTACAGAAAAATAAAAATACTGGCACAACTATTTCTGAGACTACTATTCAATCGCTAAAATGGAGCAAGAATAAGCAGCATGCTGGTTAAGTACAGAGGTGCTGGAATAAACTTTTCTATATTCAACCTAAGCTCCAGAACTTACTCATTTTTACTTGTATCATCAACAAAGTGGGGTCTATTTTCTCACATGGTTTATGTAGAGTACAAAAATGAACACCTGTACATACTCAGAATAATGCCTGACATAGTAAAAGCCCAATAAATGTTAGTAGTTGTTTTTTTAAAAAGCACTTTATAGCCCTAGCTGGTTTGGCTCAGTGGATAGAGCGTTAGCCTGCGGACTGAAGGGTCCTGGGTTCGAATCCGGTCAAGGGCACATGCCCAGGTTGTGGGCTCGATCCCCAGTGTGGGGTGCGCAGGAGGCAACCGATCAATGATTTTCTCTCATCACTGATGTTTCTATCTCTCTCTTCCTCTCCCTTACTCTCTAAAATCAATAAAAATATATTATAAATAAATAATAGCACTTTATACATATCATCTACTTTAGTTCCTAGAACAACCCTTTGAGGTAAGATGGAACAAACTTTAAATAATTGAATTGACACACCTAATTAGGGGCAAAGAAAGATTCAAATTCAGGTTTTACTGTCACTAAATTCAGGCTCTTTCTATTTCAAGATGCCTCCAATAAAAATTTATAGGCAGTAATCTACCCTGGCACAAGATTACCTATATGACTATTTCCAATACTATGGGTACACTACACACACACCTATGAATCTACTCATCTACTACTCTTCAATGCTACTACTCTAATCCAAGCCCCATTATCTCTTACCTAAACTTACTGCCACAGCTTCCTAACTAAGCTGCAAACACTGACATTTGGGAGGCCCCCAATGAAAAGGTTGGCTCACCTAGAAATGACACAACACTGAGGCCCACTGATGAGTAAGTCAAAAACACACAAGCATAACTCATAGAATATAAGTAGGCAGAGCTGGAATAAACCGCCCCCCACCAAAAAACAAAAAAAAAACCACTTCCAACATTAAAGAAACACACACACACACACACACACACACACACACACACACGCACCACTTAGGAGGAAAGTTAATGCAAGGAGTAGAAAAACAAAAGCAAAAATCTACAGTTGGCCCTAGCCAGTTTGGCTCAGTGGATAGAGTGTCAGCCCTCGAACTGAAGGGTCCCAGGTTCATTCAATTCTGATCAAGGGCACATACTGCAGTTGCAGGTTCCTGGTCTGGACTTGTGCAGGAGGCAACCAATCAATGTCTCTCTCTCACTGCTGTTTCTCTCTCTGTCTCTCCCCCTTCCTCCCACTCTTTCTAAAAATCAATGGGAAAAGATCTTAGGTTGAGAATTAACAACAATAACAAAAATCTACAGTTGCCTCAAGTTCCAGACAGTGCAGGCCCCCTACAGTCTGACCCTCCCACTGACAGCAACTATAAACTTAGAACAAAATACAAAAAAAATAAAAAGTACCTGAGCATTCTGAATTAAAAAACAAATAGGGATGTAGAGGAAGTTAAAATTTGGAGAAGCAACCTGTACAGATGAGAGTTTCCCCGTTTTTTTCTTTTTGCAGTTTTGCTCGGAGGCAGAACCATAGTTGTGGAAAGGCATCATGGCTTAGGTGCTAAAACCCCACTATAAGTCATGCTATTTCTAGCCACACAAAGCATAGAATGGCACCTGGGAAAGCCAGAAAGTGAGGGGAAATCTCTAACCCTCGAACAATGCATGTGTAGATCTTACACAAAACAGATTATAAAGGACTAAGAAATTAAGCTTAGATTTGAACCACTGAACAGTGTATGAAACAGTATTTGCAATCTAAATCTGAGTCGACTGCTTCTAAAACAAAATATTCTCCAGAGGACCATAGCACAACACTCAGAAGATCCAGGATAAAATCCAAAATTACTACAAATACAAAATACTATGAAATATAAATCATTCTCCAGGGAAAATGCAACCAAGAGATGCCAATTTCAAGATGACTCAGATTATAGTTATCATATAAGAATTTTAAAGCAGTTATTATTGCTGTTGTAGGAAGTAAAGCAAAATTACCTTGAAATTAATAAAATGGCAGGGAATCTCAGCAGAGAAATATACACAAACAAACAAAAAAGATAGAAATTTTGGAATGAAAAAAAAAATCCAATGATTGGGATCCACAGCACAATGAAGATGACAGGGAAAAGAACCAGTAAATTAATTTTTTAAAAATTTTTTTTTATTGACTGATTTTAGAGAGAGAGGAAGAGAGAGAGATTTGTTGTTGCATTTATTTATGCATTCATTGGCTGACCTTATATGTGCCCTGATCAGGGACTGAACCCCAAACGTTGGCATCCTGGGATGACATTCTAACCAACTAAGCTACCGGGCCAGGGTGAGAGAGCCAGTGAATTAAATTGATTTTTTTGAATTTATCCATTCTAAAGAACAGAAAAGGATTGAAAATTAAATAAGCAAACAAATGGACTTTTTAAAATTTTTAAAGATCTAAAAAATACATGTAATTTGAGGTTCAAAGGAAACAAAAAAAAAAAAGGAGACTAAAACAGGAAAACAAATTTGAAGAAATAATGTCCATAACTTTTCAAAGGGATGAAGTAAATTTATAAATTCAACCTCAGTAAGGCTAAAACAGAATAAATTCAAAGAAAACCACACCTACACACAGCATAATAACATGTCTAAAAATCAAAAATAGTTATTGAAAGCAGCCTCAGAAAACCAATATATTACATACAGAGAAACAATGATTCAAATAACTACAGATTTTGCAGCAGAAACCATAGTTGTCAGGATAAAATGGAACAACATCTTAAAAGGCTGAGAGAAAATAACTCAGCCAAAAATTCTATATCCAAAATATATACCTATATATTGCAGGAATAAAGGCAAAATAAAGACATTTCAGATGAAAGTAAGATAAGAGAATTTATTAAGCTGATCTACACTTTAAGAAATGGTAAAGGAAGTTCCTTAGGCGAAAACATTTATTTTGTTTCGTGGTTTTTTTTTTTCTTTTGGGGGGGGGGGGCGGATTGAAACATTTAATAAAGAGAAACTTTTCAGGAATGAGGAGAGCATAGGGGTGATAAATAAAAATAAATTTTCCTCTGAAGTTTTTAAAAATATGTGTCACTAAACCAAAAATTGTAACATTGTCAGGGTTTTCAATGAATGTATATATAATACATATAACATCAAGGTTGGTTACAAAGTTCTACATATATGACACTAATGTTATATATACATACCTAACTTTTCACTATTTATTATCATCTTAGAGGAAGAAAAAAATAATATAAAGAGAAATAATCTAAAAAATGGAAATTTCAAAAAGGGCACTGAAAAAAATTTTTTTAATCAAATCATCCATAAAAACACAGAAAAGGATGAAAAGAGAAACTACAACAGCAACAACAAAAAACAACCAGAAAACAATACCATGGCAAAAAAACAACCATATCATACCAAGAAAGAAATACTTAAAGGATTCAGACAAGTTGTAAGTAAACAGATAGAAAGAGATATGCCATGCAAAAAAATAAGGCTGGAATGGCTATATTGATATTAAATAAAATAGACCTGAGGACAAAGAGCACTACCAGAGATAAAGAGGGAGTATTTCATAATAAGAGAACCTCAAAATTTAGGAAGCAAGAAATTGAGAGGGAGATAACTCTATAATCACAGCAGATTTTAACATCCCTTACTCAGTAACTAATAGACCAACACAAAAACAAGTATCAGTAAAGACACAGAAGATCAGAATAATACTATGAACCAACTTATGTGACATTTCCTAGAATACTATATCCAACAATGGAAGAGTATACAAATTTTAAATGCACACAGTACATTAGCAAGATAAATATATTGGACCACAAAACAAGTCTCAATAAATTTAAAAGAAATAAGATTACAGATTCACAAAAGAATTAAATTTGAAATTTTAAAAGTATTATCTAAGAAAATCCCAACTAAATAAAATTTAACACATTTCTAAATAATGTATAGTTCAAATAAGAAATCATAAGAGAAATTAGAAAGCATCTGTACTGAATAACAAAAATATAAAATATCAAACTTTGCAGGACATAGCAAAAACACTGTTAGAGGAATGCTTACACTAGGGGAAAAATGTTACATTAGAAAAAAAGGTCTAAAGTCAATGACCAAAGGTTCCACCAATAGAAGCTAGAAAATAAAAGGTATAGTAAACCAGAAATAAAGAAAGGAAATAGTAAACAAATGAGGTAAAAGCAGAAATTAGTAAAATAGAATACAGAGACATTTAACAAAGCCAAATGATGGTTCTTTGAGAAAATCAACAAAATTGAAAAATATTATAGCTAGACTATCAAAGAAAAAATTGAGAAAGCAAATCTCGAAGTGAAAAGGGGGTTATCATCAGACCTACACACATTAAAATGATAAGAGATTAAGAACTTGATGCCAACAAATTCAATAACTTAATTTTTTACCTCTAGGCATCTTTTTTTAAGAAACCTACTGAAAATATCTCCCACTACAGTTGGGGAATAAACTAAAAACAGAGAAAGATTAGAGTTCAAGAAATAGAGACTCCACTTTCTTGATGAAGGAAAGTCTCGGTATGACAGCTGTGCATCAGGCCTACAGAACAAACAGTACAGACAGAAACAGGAGGATGGAGGGCCTAGGAAGAATGTCTTCGAAGAACAAAAGAACTAATGATTATTTGATGCATTTGACCATGCAAAAATATAGCTGAAGAGCAAATTTTGAAAAATTACCAGAGGCTATGCACAGAATTAACAATAGATATATAGAAAAATAAAGACTTAAAATTAGGCAACTCCATGAAAAATTTAAAAAGTTATACACATTACCCTGACTCAGTTGTGAACAGTACTTTCACAGTCATAAAATGTAAATACTAATTTCCAATTTAACTAAAGATTAGATGTTTTTCATACATTTAATCCTCACAATAATACTATGAGGTAAGGACCTGTACTATCCTTACTTTATAGATGAGGAAGCTATGACATAGAGAGGTTAAGTAATTGGCTCAAGGTTATAGGGCTTACAAGCGAGGAGCCAAGATTTGAACCCAAGAGATGAGACTACGAAGATCATGATCTGGGAAGGGAAAGCAGGACATGTAAGAAACAAAAGTAAAATTAATAAACCAACAAGTAGCTGAATATACATATATGTTAACAATAAAGTTAAAGCAGTTTAAAGGTGCTGTCTTTTGAGGAGAAAGATTTGGAGGACAATGGGGATGGAAAAGGGAACTGCTATTTCTCATTACTTATCTTTTGGTACTCTAACTTTTTAAACTGTATATCTGCATTAATTTGATTTTTTTTAAATATGCTGGTGAAAGAAAACTTGTCCACAAGCTGAATTCAGCCCACTCAATTACTGCTGAGTTGTGGGTTCTGGATAACCAGCTAGGTCCACTTATTAGCTACGTGATTACCAGACTCATGCTATACCATCCATACATACTCTTCATGTCTGGCATCACTATGAATAAAAGAAAGTTAACTATAATAAAAGTTCTCTTTCCTGGGATCTTTGATAAATTTTAACTCAACTGATAAATTTAGAATAAAATAAAATTTGCCCTCCAAGCTTCATTGCATAACCTTAAGCAGATTCTCCCTTGGACAATCTGCTATAAAATTAAAAGGCTGCAGAAAATGACCACTAACTACTTCTACAACATCTGGAAACAGTTTTTCCTTCTTTCCATAGGTAGACCAAATAACCTAACCATGGTTAAATATTTTGCAATTGCAAGTGACCAAGCAAGTGAGGAATTATGCAAAAGTACCAGAACTCACCAAAACAGATTCCTTGGCACTACACTAAAAGCAAAATACATATCCTAATACTGGACATCAAGAATATCAACTCTGTAGGACCCGGATCAAGGCAAGATGGTGGGCTTGCCATGAGCTGCTGAAAAGGGATGAAAATAGATATGCCTAGAAGCAAATTTTAAAAGCATTTAATAGCATTTTCTCTTCAAATCTTTTTCCATACCGCCTGATAAACATCTTGATTCACCATGGCAGTAACAGCAGTGAAATGGGCAATATCAAACAGAACTATCTTGAAACATTTATTTCCAATTCAAAATGAAACTTTATATTGTGTCTGTCATAAACCCACATATTCTTCTCTTTCAGATTGCTATAATTGCAAAATAGAGCTTGCTTTGACATCTGATGGTAGGGGAATAGTTTACTATAATCTTTCTGTGGACATTCCACATGAACACATAAAACCTATCCCTGGTCAGATCATGTGCGTGATTATGAAGAAACACAGTATCAAGTAATTAAAACCAGATTAGATGAACAGTTTGAGCAAGGACCCATAATAGAACTTAGCAAAATGTTCTTTACTACTAAGCACCATTGGTATCTTCATGGCAGTATCATAGATGTCTGAGAAACTGAATCCTCCAAAAGACAGATCATATTGAGGTTTTCAGTAATCAAAGAGAAATGCTATCCTGTGACTCATTTGCCATTTGGGAAAATGCAATCAGGTATATTCACTACTATGTTATACAGTAAAATAATAATAAAATGTCTTTTCAT